CAGGATTCAGACCATGGCTCCCCCAGTTAGACCTCTCCCTTCTGCTCTCGCTCATGTTTCTGTGCCGCCCAGGGCAAATGGAGCGGCTGTGTATGAGAACAGGCTAACACTACACTGGTGCCTAAGAAGAAAAGAGAAGTCTCTCCTGGGTGACTGTTTATGGCGAGCACCTTTGGATAGATGTTCTCCAATAGGCAAGGGTTTTCAACAGCTAGCGGTATTTTTTGAGCCTGAAACGTTTCAGTGGAAGCATGGTGGGTTTGATGCATTCCTATCACACCTAAGAGAACTTTAGGATCCCCAGTCCTGAAAGACTCTGCCAGCAATTCAAGGAGAGATGCTTTCCTCCTTGTTCAAACCAAAGTGTGTTACCGCCTCTGGTTGAGAAAACCTGCAAACCCTCAAAAGAGTGCTTCAAGCAAAGGGGCTGAGTACTTCCAAACTACCCACAACTAACCTGGGAGCTGGAGCCCAGCTGTCCCAGAAAACACACCCGCAGTGTCTGCTGGGCAACAGTGCATGGAATCCAGGGAACATTTTGTTTATGTACGTTTCCTGGACAATTTTTCTTTTTAAGATTTCCACAGGAGGGAGAGTTGAGAATTTAATCAATTAAAAAAGCTCTTCTTGTAGCTCAAGCAGGAACAAAACCATTCAAATCTACCCTTCATTAGCAAAAGCCAGTAACACGTTTTCTGACCTTCATTTGACCTAGATGAATGGTTGCACATTCTCCTCCCAGTCAGATCAAGACTGTGCTGATTCTGGGAAGTTAGAAAATATCATAAAATCCTATTCAAACAAAATATTATCCAACCATCTGAGCTCAGACAGAAAAGAGATCCTTTCATATCTTGTTTCACAATCATATCATTCAGCTAGTTAGCCTCATGCAGACGTAATAAGCTAACAGAAATTCTTGGCATAAGGTTTGTTGATGTCTAAAGCTTACAGTAACGTCCTTCTATGTAATTGATTTTAGATAGTTCATAAATGCCATGAGTAGATGCCAGTCAACACTTTAAGCAATCGAAGTGACATATGGATTTTAATGCATCTGATAAATCAATCATGGTGGTCACCAAACACTGGTGAGTTGTCCTGCACTAGACAATTTTTAATTTCAAGGAGGCTGGGATTTTATCAATTCCTGTCAGAGCCAGGCATGGCATGACTCAATGCTATACACCAGTCTCTCTTTTAAGAGAAATACACGTCTTTGCTCCAGCTGGAAATGTATGTTTAAACAGTTTGAAGAACAGCAAGAAGTATAAGGCATAATTTAAAGTGCAACGAGAGAGCAAAAGGAAAGTTGGACAACATGGCTACAGCAGTTGCAACAAACTTCAGAACTGTTCCATCCAAAAAACAGTTTGCCTGGGGAGTGAATAACAGTAAGGTATATGAAAAATAAAAGTAAAATTAAAAGATGTTTACAAAAATAAGGAGATTCTGGGTAACTCCTGCTTTCAATGATTCTGTTTATTTATTACAATAAGAAGAGCAATGTAAAAAGTTTAAAAGAAAAATAATCTCAAGAGAAAAGAAATACTTCTGCCTTGGTTTACTGGAAAAGTTATTGCCACCTGCTCCAAGGAGCTCTGGGTACCAAGACTGAGACGGTTGCTAGACGCAGTGCAATGTCACTATGGCCTCAGCGCCTGGCTACTTCATGATGCTCTGAGCCTGCCTGATCACCTTCCCCTCCAAGTAACGCATTTCCAGAATCCAGTGACTCCAGAAATAGGAAGGATGGGAGCATAGTCTGGCTTCAAAAATCTCCTTGCTGGGTGACTTCCCTGAGCAGCAGAGGATAGAGTTGCCTGCAGTGAAACCATTCCTGCAGCCAAAGAGGCAGCTGGGTGACAATTTTGGGAGCAACTACATTGTTGTCCAAATTTTGGGCAATCAGAGCATGTGAAAGTCATCAGTGTTGACCCACTGTAGCCACTGATGCAAGAGCCACAGGCTTTCTCACTTTGCCACTTAATTTTGCTGCTCTAGCATTCTGTCATCTAGATTACTTCCTACCTCACCTGTATATAAAATGGACCTCTAACAGCACCACTGAAGGCAATCGGATTAAATTGTAAGAGTGAGGACTCTTCATGCAAGTAAACCTTGTGCTAAGGCTTCATAGGAAGTCTTAGAGTCCTTCTCTAGAAGCGTGAGTCCTGCTCTTCATATGAATAAGACCAGCATTGTCCTAAATGTAATGTACAATTTTAACTTAAAACAAAAATAAAGCCCATCATACCAAAATTCACCATCTTTTTGAGCTATAAAGCTTCATAAACACCCAACTGGAATATATTACTGGGTTTTTTCCTGAGTTTGAGAAAGGATTTTTTTTTTTTTTGAGTGACGATTAAGATATGATATAAGCCTTTCTAACATTGTCCCACATGTACCACAAAATTCTGACTTAAAACAAAAATTAAGTTCACCATACTGAAATTCTGAGACATCAACTTTTTGATCTATAAAGGTTCATAAACGCCAAACTGGACTACAACACTGGTTTGGGGTTTGGTTTTTTTGGGTTGGTTGGTTTGGGTTTGTTTTTTTTTTTTTTTGAGTTTGGGACAGCATACAAGTGAGGTTTTACATTCAGTCCTGGAAGGATCCAACTGACAGCACTGAGAGTCATTTATTTTTCTTCATTTTAGTTTTCACCATTGCAAAGCACATCGAGAAGATGGCACTACATAAAGCAAGAATATAACTTCATAATAAAATACACTTTAAGAAATGTTGAAACATGACTTAAAAATGTATCAAATGCCCATCAAGATTATTTCAGATCATGATAAGGAAACTTCTGCTCCTACATAGTAATCCTTCTCCCTTAGTCTTCACAGGCAGTAGTGCAGAAGTTACTGCGAAGTGGCATTCACCTCCAAAGACTCTAACATGTTCTAGGTGTTCCCAAGCACAGGAACCATTCCACCCACCTTCTCTGTAGTCCCCTACTGAATGGGAGATATCTCGTCTTGGGTGAGACTAGAAAGAAGTAGGATCCATGGCATACATCTGCACTTCTTCTTCACAAATCTTGCTGTCAAAATTTACCTGTGGGAATTGCCAGAACTTTTCAATGTACAGAAAATGAAGTATAGATGTTGGGGGCAGATTTGGTGAGTAATTACATGCAGTGCTGAATTCTCCATTTTTCAAATATGCAGAAAAATAGGAAGATTTAAAGTCGGCTCTAAGGTTATATCTTAAGCATTCATATGCTGGGAGCAGTGCTCTAGTGTGATTACAATTGTCAGCCTACATGCTATTTTTTATTTGGATTTCATTTAGTAGTGTTTACAAAAACAGATCTTTTTTCTGAGTTTTGCAAAAAAAATGCAATGCTATGCACACTTTCATCAAATACTGGCGGAACATTTCTACAACTAACAAGACTGGAGTTATTAAAGTTCGTTCCCTTGTAAGCACAATTAGTTATCCAAATAGAAATACAAAAAGAAACAGCTTATCGTTTCCATCCACTTGTTAATTCATAGCATAGCCACAACTGCTTTGGCATTTGGTACAATTTGAAAAAGTGACAATTTCCAGATCTGAAGGTGGTAACAACAACTGGGAGCACACAGGAACTTTCCCAAATGGATTTGCCACCAGTAGAGAAATTGATTTTCCATCCACAACTGATACCTTGTTGGGACGCACTGGTCATCTTTCTTTTCCGTCCACACACTCACGTCTCCATGTGACCTCTTTATCCTAAGCTTCCAGCCCTCCAGTTGTGCCACACATAACATCCCTCCGCCAATGGTTAGCCTTTGCACAAAGGAAATGAAAGCAGGCATGTGCTGGAAGATAAGGACAGCTTCGACCCTTTGAAGGAACTATAGGACAAAAGCATTATTGTTTTTCAAAACCAAAGTCACTGACCTGTTAAATGTTCATCAGGCATGAAGTGTGCCGTACATCTCTGCCTGCACTGCCGCTGCCCAGCAAAGCGTGGCGAAGCCATTGTCTGGGGCCAGGGCTAGAGCAGGTGCTGCTTGGCTTGGATCAAAAGGTAGAAGCCATTCATATATTACCAACGCACCGTAAGACAGCCCAAATACAATTCATTTCAAGCAACGTGCAGAGAGCACAGGTGTTTAGCAGGACAGAAGGGAACAAACATAAGAAAGGCTATGTGCCCATGTGCACGGCAAGTGGGCGAAGGAAAGGACCAAACCCCGGTGCTCGCACACCCTCCCAGTGCGAAGGTCCGCCAGACCCACCCCGGGGCGCACCCTTTTACACGAGTCTTGAGTTTTTCGATTTTGCTTTGATGTTTGCCATGGGACGTGGCTCTTGGGTGCCAGCCCAGGGCAGTGACACTGCTGTCCCAGGGAGCAGAGCCCAGAGGGCCGGGGGCCCGGTGGGCAGCACGTGCCCCCTGCCCACGCCTCCAGAGCTCCGAAACAGCCATTACTTGCGGCAGGAGCAGAGGGTGCCCAGGCCACTGCTCTCCACCAGCAGGACCTGCAGGTAGGGAGCCTGGGGCAGAGGCTTGGCACGTGTCAGGCTGCCATCACCAGTTTGGTAGGTGCCACAGGAAACCCCTGCGGTGGCTCCCAGGGGTTGCTGGCACCTGCGGGCTCAGATCCTCCCAGAAACAAAGAACAGCTGCCTCCACCAGCACTGCCCGCAGCAGAGGTGCTGGGGCCTCCTTGCTCCCAAGTGCTGCTGTGGAAATGGTGCTGGGTACCCATTCATTTCCTTCTCCAAACAACTGACTTACTGGTATACAGTCAGGGCATCTCTTTCTTACCCTATGATCTGTCTTGCATGAGAAAATAAATTGGGGTTCAGATCATAAGTGTACTGTGGCTATGTTTATAAACACTAGTTTTAATACAGTAACAGTACTTTGTTTAAACAGGCAAGATTTTTTATTAAGACAGGCTACATAGAAGACACATTTAAGGCATTTTTTCCATTTGGACTGTCTGTGTCGCTCTCATTTTCTTGAAAAGTGGCCATCTGCCATATCAGCATCTTCCCATCTTGAAAATTTGGACATCCTTTTTATTTTCACTGCAAGCAGAAGAAAAATATTTTAGAAGAGAAGCACTACACTTGAATTTAACAGACACATTTTATAAAGCGGACTCTCCCATGTCTTTCTATGTGTTCAATTAAATGCAGCGATGTATTTAACTGTGTCACTTACAGCAAACATTACCACAAAGTATCTGTGATGCAAAGATTTATGAATCACACACACGGAGCGAGTAACTTCCAGAGACAGCCTTACTTCAGGCATTGTTACCTATAAAGACCTGACAAAGCCACCTGCAAATCTGAGAAGCATCAAACCACATGACAAATCTTGCAGTGATCACTAAGTGTCCATTACAAAGCACTTAGGCAAGTCAAACTTCACGGTCCCTGAAGTGGGAAACAGTTTAATGCTTACAAATTTTCCCCCTTTCATGTGGGAATTCAGTGGGAAGGGTGTACATCCTGATGCATCTCTGCATCCCAGGCTTCACTAAAATTTGAATGTGTGGTTCTCTGAATGTTGGAATCTTCTTTAAGGAAGTTTTAGCCAAGTCTCCCTTAGTTTGGGAACGTTAGTTTGTTTTTTTTTTTTTTTAAGTCCCATACATGGTACTTTTTGGTGCTTCATTTGCAAATCTCAGTTTACCAAGCAAATGCAGATACAAAAAGAAAGTGATAGAATGCAAAGTGCCCTAGATCTTCAGTTCACTTCCCTATCTTAATAGAACCAAGCTGTTTTATGCCTCATGAAATTCAAGAAGCTTATGATTATCCAAAAGCAGGGATAATCTATACTAACAGTTGTATCAGGGATCTTTTAACCAGAAGGTCATGTAGCAGATTAGGAATATGAAAGGAAAATCAAGCCCAGGGGATGTAAAACACATGTAAAGATGTAAGGAAAAGTTCTGGCTGAAGGACAGCCCTTATGCTAAATCCTGCAGAGGCAGCTCAAGCTGCTGTGTTTGTTTCCAAAGAGCTTGTGGTACTGCCAGACTAGGTTTAAATTAAGATCAGCTGTGGTCACTGCTACTGGACACTAAGTGTGGAAGAGACATGGGATTTGCATTTGAGCACCCACTTAGGAATGGATTAGACCTAAGCTTTAAAAAAAAAAAAAAAAAAAAAAAACAACTGAAACGAGGCAGGGAGGAAGAGCAGCTTTGGTCTTAGTTAATGGGCTGCACTGCAGAACCAGGATGGGCAGGGTTTGTTTGCTCCAGGTGTCTCATGTTATCACGGATCAGCCACAGCAACCTCTCCTGCACGACTCTTGATGCGCATGGGGCTCTCCGGGTGCCCACACTGTCTTGCATGGCTAAAGGAGCCCATGGACAGTACTGCCTTGGCCATCAGGAAAGTACAACTCCCTTTAAAAAGTCCTTTAATGGGCTTAAACACGGTCGGGAAGTGACCTGGAAGTTGGCTGTTGAAAATCACCCAAGTGAATTTAGAACTAACTGTTTCGTAATTCACTGTGGGCTATGCCCATGTATCTGTCTCCACATCACCACATTACACTCTTTATCTCAGCAACTACTGGTCATGCAGCTTGTTGAGAAGGGCAGAAAGATCTCTTTGTTCTCTCCTCCTAAGGAGTGTGATGGACTGTACCTTAGGATCCTTGAAGTGAAATAACCATTGCTTATAACTATGAACCATTTTACAAAGCTGAAATTCTTCCAATAAGACAAAGTGTTTTATCCTTGTTGTGTTCATGCCAAGTCAAACACTTTAGAACAACTCCAGACTGAACTAGAAAGCCACTGAGTATGCCAACTACTGAATTGTTAAAGAAAAAAAAAAATCAGGATAGTATCTGATCACCCTGTGCCCCTCCAGACCAAAATGCATGTTTCTGAGCATGTAAGATGCCAGCAAAAAAAGAAGGTTAAGATAAAAATCTATCTTGTATGTGTAACTGGATTAAATCCCATGTTTCACACAAAGCACGTACATTGCATCTCATACTAATAAGACATAAGACCCATGATGAATTACTTCAGGAATTAAGTAAAAGTAAACAGCAGGTATGCCTAGAGTAAAAGGCAGGTTTGCCTTCATGCTATGTGCAATGCTGTAGTCAGGAATCTATCATGCACCCATCCAGAACTGAGGGATCATGCCTAGAAAATGAAACATCCTAGAAATGTAAGGCTGGATCTCAAAGCCCATCGTTCTGCTCTGAGAAAGGATCAAATATACTGTTTAGGTCATGAGAGGCTCTCCTGTCTATAGCTCCACAACATGGATTTGTGCTCTCTATGCGCGATACTTACCACTTCTCTTCGACTTTTATTGTACTGATTTCAGTCCATTTCTCCAGTTTCCTGGGAATTTTGATACTGTCCTGCACATATCTCATGCCATTTTGCAAAATTTTATTTCTTGTTTCTGATATCCAATTCATTACAAAAATACTGAATTATATACTACACCTAAAGGAAATCCTACTTCATAGCTCTTTCCAGTTTGACTGTAAAATGCTGATTACTGCTTTTAAACCACAGCATTTCAAACTGCTGTGACTTCATCCTTCAGCGATTTCAGCTGAATAACTATTTGTCTGCTTATGTGAATGTCGAGCAGAGCTATGTAAAATGCCTTATTAATGTCATGGAGCAACACTTTTGTTTCTTCCTACTCTGCTAGGCCAGTTATCTTGCCAAAAAACTAAATCTCTCGGACTTGATTGGATTATTTCTGACAAATCTGTATCAGCTTTGCTTAGTCTCTTTTTACCTCTGGTGTCTACAAGTCAGTTGCTTAATAACTTACTCCAACATCATTCTAGGCAGCAAAGATGGGTAGGCTTCTAATATGTAACATGCCAGCACCTCTTTTCTCCCCCTTTCACAGATTGTACTGTGTGTGCCCTTTGATTCCCTGGTGGGTTTTTTTGGGGTTTTTTTTTTTTTTCTTCCCCCAGACTGTAGGTTTACCAATTCTCTTTGCAACTTGTCATTTGCTTGGGTAGTTTGTGATGTACTCTGGTGAAGATGTTACCAAATTCTGCAGATCTGCATACCTTAAAACACACTTTGACACACTTTGTCACTTTCTTTAACATGTTATTTCCTTAAGTGTCCTTTGACACTTTCCTTATTCTGGCCTATGTTCCCTCTATCCTGATCATTTGAATTTTGTAAATTATCTGGTCACAATTAATCTTTCCCCCACCCCAAAGTCAGAAACATATTTCAGCCTTCCCTTTCTGGAGATCTATCTCTTTGTAATTTTATAAATGCCCATCACTGCTGTTGTGCTACTCTCACTTCTTCCCTCTGCTGGAAACAGAAATTCTGTTATTTCATTTATATAAATTTTCTTTCACCGTCAAATTAAATTCATAAGCAGTTCCTCTCAGTTTGTACTGAGAGGATGCTCTGTAGAAGTTTCCAGTCAATCATAATGGGGGGTAACAATGCTCATTAAGTACTGATTTTCTATGTTTTCAATTCATTTTTTAAAAAACGATTAAATTATTAAAGAATAAAATACATTCTCTCAAATATTAGGAGATCTTTTTCTTGATTTTTAAACAATCTGAATGGCAAAATAGTATTTTCTCCTAATGTTTGGCATTCTTACTCTTCTCTGAAAGGAAGTACAGGAGATTGGATCTTGAATGTAAACATTTTGTAGTAAAAGCTGCATTTTGGGTGGGATATTTCATGTCTTCTGATGGAGAGTGTGGAAGAGTCTGGCATTATATTTAATGGCACTGTGGCACTGTATGAATGTGACAGGCAACCCCACTCCGAGATGCTCCTCCTTAAGAATTACAAAAGCGAATATTCAGTACTCCCAAGCTAACTGAATCCAATCTAAGCTGTTTACAGGTATCATGATAAAAGCTGCTGCAAGGGATTGACAGTTGAGAAGACCCCGCTAAAACTGCAGTTTAACAGAGCGTGAACGATCCAAAGCCAATAATCTATCGGTTAATTGGGATGTGAGGGTGAATATTTTGCTGCATATAGGGAAGGGAAGGTTAGGATGTCAATTAGGTGACTACCTGTTTGAAAGGCAGAGCACACACTCATTTGAGTAGGTCTCTCCGTCGGTCCCACAAACTGGATTGTAGTCCCTCGGACATCCAGGCACACCGTACTTGTAGCAGGCAGGCTAGGGAAGACAGGTGCATAAGAAGTCTGAGATGCAGAATTTGAAACAGGTCTCTGATCAGCTCCTGATCTGAGAGCTTCTGAAGAATGCTGGCGCACTCACGCACAGAAAGGAGCGCTCAACAGGAGCCGGCACAGCGTTGTAAAGTGCCACATTATCTTTCGTGCTCTTATAGGAATTTATCGCTTGAGGCTCGGCTTCTACTGCTTGGCACGGCTTGAGCTGCTGTGCCAGGACATCTGCGCGCTACGAAACGCAGCTCCTTCGGATGTCTTACGCCAGCGGGACACACGGATGGCGGGTCCCCGTGAAGGGCAACCACAGATCAAGCCGGTAAGCGGTGGGAATCACCAGGGCACGTCTGCTGTAGCCCTTAGCAGGCGGCTGCCAGGCTCCCGGGGTCCCTCGGCTGTGGGGAGAGACCGCCCGGGGCATCATTGCCCGGGGCATCATCGCCCGGGGCTCCGGAGCCAGGGCCCGGCACTGCCGCCCGGCCTC